AAGGTGGAGTTCGTGCTGAGCGTGGCTGGGGAGATCATTGGGCTGGGCAACGTGTGGCGCTTCCCTTACCTGTGCTACAAGAACGGCGGAGGTGAGGCGGCCGGCGGCCCCGGCGGGGAATGGAGTGCCGGGAGCCAAGCCCGGTGGGGGCAGGGAGCTACGGGGTGAGCGCGAGACCCCTCCCGCGCCTGCGTGAAGCGGGACCCGTGAGGAGAACGCGGAACCCAGGCCCCGGCGCGCGAGCCTACCCCTGGGCGAGGGGCACCCGTCCGCGTGCGCATGCGCGCTTCGCTTCGCACCTGAGTGTGCCACCTGCTCACAAGCGGGGACTTGTCCACCAGGTGCGTTCTGTCCCAGCATATGGTGCAGACCGAGCCCAGGAGCTGTGTGGGACGGGTGACAGCCCCTTTTTGAGCCTCAGCTTTCCTGACTGGAAACTGGCCTGAAGGGAAGGGACTCATAGTGATCTGAGGAGGCTAGGGTTTTGAGCGCTCACTGAAATGCCAGCCTCTGTACCAAACTTTACCTACATCATCTCATTTCGTCCTTACAGTCCTCTTTGTAGGCAGTGGTATACCCATTTTGCAGATGAGGAAACTAAAGGCCTGCGAGGCCACTCATTTAGTAGGAGGTAAAGATGGAATTCTGACGCCCAAAGGCCTTGTAAAGTTGGTTTGGATGACAACAGGGAGAACTTTTAGGTGAGGCGTTACTGTTTGATTTACTGCCTTTCATTTGCTCATAGTCCTTTCTAAGGCCTCTCTTCGGCCTGTCTGGTGGGAGAATGGGCACCAGTCAGTTCTTTTACTGGTCTCACAGTCACCCACAGCAAATAGCAACAACACTGATTTAATGTTTAGAAGAGGCCTGGAGACTGAGGGGGTGGGGGGCAGGGAGAGGAAGGTGATGAGAGAGTCGTTTCTAGTGACAACATGTCCGAGTCAGTTTGGTGGTGATGCAGTGAAGAATCCTCAAATCTCCCAGCTCAAGGAAGGGGCTCCAGACTTCTGAAGCCCCCATCTGTCACATGAGCAGGACAGCTGGCAGGTCCATGGCTAGGGACCTTGTGGAACCTTCTTGAGTTCCACAGTTTCTGCAAGGAAAAGCTTATGTCAATGTATTCCTCCCTCTCGGCTGTGTCCCTGCCCCTCCAGCAGATCCCCAGACCCCCAAATGAAGGTGG